TAAACAACTGGACAAAAATGGCAATAGTGGGCGTTGAAGCTCCCATATGAATTATACAAGTTCGTATATTTGGAAATCTACAAATAGGGCGTGGCACTTCCCATATGAACTAAATACAAAAAGTTGTTTATTTGGGAAACCTTTACAGCTAGAATCCTTAAATTTTGCACGAACAATTTTGACATAGATATAAATATTTGGATAATAAAATGGCGATTTATCAATAGGGGCGTAGCACCTCCCATATGAATTTAATACAAAAAGTCGTTTATTTGGAACACTGTTAGAGCTAGAATCCTCAAATTTTGCATGGACTATATTAAAAGCTATATGAACCATTGGACAAAAATGAGTTAACTTGCAATAGTGGGCGTGGCACCTCAAATATGAATTAAACACTAAACTTCGTGTATTTGGGAATCTGCAGCAGGTCGACGAAATATTCTTTTGTTTAATCGCTTGAAGTTAAGGCAAAATTAATTTTAATGAAAGAGTAAAAACTGTTCCTACTCATTATTAATATTTACGGAACAGTAATTTTTAGTGATTTTTTTAAATATATCATAATAAGCACCAAAAGCCTTTATTGAAGTATCCAATTTATTTTATATAAAGATATTTTATATAAGAGTAACAAATTCATCAACAATAAAAAACAACAAAAACTGCTATATGATTATATATTTTAATGAAACACACATAAATATACATACATGTTAATGTGTAGTTTTTAAAAGAAGTATATAGTCCTTCTAACAAATACATATATACATCCAGAAAAAAATTTAACAACTACATACATAAGCAGACTTTGAGACGGATATATGCAGACAGACAGTTATAAAGGCAATAGGTCTCAATACAAAACTGAATCTTAATAAAAAATATGATGAAAACACTCTAGAGATTAAAACTGTTTGTTAGTTTTTGTTTCAACTTTCTCTCTGGCTGCCTATATAATGGTATTGATATTAAATTTATTTTTGTGTGTGTTTGTATATTATTAATTTATTAGTTTGTTTGTTTAACTGTAATGATTTTTGTACTAAATATTATGTATTTTATTTTTCTGTTTTTATTTTTCTGCCGTTTTTGTTTGTTACATTTTCATAACAATCATGACAGCTGTTGTCAGTTTTTGTTAACATGACTAAGAGATAATTTCTTAGTTCTTTTTTGTTGCTTTGTATTCGTTTTTATTTAGCTTGTTGTTGTTCCGTTGGAATATATTAGAGTTGGCTTTAGAAATGTTTTTGCAAAGAAAAGGAAAAAATGAGACGTATCTCTGAAATTATGTGAATTTAGCTTTTTATTGTTATTTAGTCAAGTGTCTATGACCGCCATAACGAGAGTAATCCGAAATGTTCTTTCGGAATTTATAAATTTTCAAAATTGTATTTTATTAAATAGAAATTAAAAAAATGTCTTGTATATAATCTAGTCTAGTCTATAGTCTAGTCTATAGTCTAGTCTATAGTCTAGTCTATAGTCTAGTCTATAGTCTAGTCTATAGTCTAGTCTATAGTCTAGTCTATAGTCTAGCCTATAGTCTAGTCTATAGTCTAGTCTATAGTCTAGTCTATAGTCTAGCCTATAGTCTAGTCTATAGTCTAGTCTATAGTCTAGTCTATAGTCTAGTCTATAGTCTAGTCTATAGTCTAGTCTATAGTCTAGTCTATAGTCTAGTCTATAGTCTAGTCTATAGTCTAGTCTATAGTCCAGTCTATAGTCTAGTCTATAGTCTAGTCTATAGTCTAGTCTATAGTCTAGTCTATAGTCTAGTCTATGTCTAGTCTATAGTCTAGTCTATAGTCTATAGTCTAGTCTATAGTCTAGTCTATAGTCTAGTCTATAGTCCAGTCTATAGTCTAGTCTATAGTCTAGTCTATAGTCTAGTATAGTCTAGTCTATAGTCTAGTCTATAGTCTAGTCTATAGTCTAGTCTATAGTCTAGTCTATAGTCTAGTCTATAGTCTAGTCAATAGTCTGGTCTATAGTCTGTTCTGTCTGCTATTCTATAGTTCCTTTAGCTTAAACTCTAATAACTTTAACTAAATTGTCCGCCTGTCAGAATATCTTCCATGCAAAACTTTAGCTTCTGCCCATTTAGTATTTTTTTTGCTAAACTCTGAAAAAGGTTCCTTTTATTATTTTGAGGGTTTATATTGGGGTAATTTTAGACTTTTTGTTTGAAACATTTATCATTTTATATTTTAACAGTAACATCATTATTATTTCTGTAATAAATTCATAAACTCAGCAGTTTCGTCTTCATACCCTCTATCTTCCGCCACAAATATGCACTTGAGAGTGAAATTTGTTTTAACAAATTTACAATTTAATAATATTGTGCGTTGTGTATATTTTAAGTTAAATATAATTTCATTTATGTTACACAAAAAAAAAGGAAAAATTATTAAATGACCTTGGTTTAAGGAAAAACTTAATTGGACTATGAATTTTTATTTGTTTTTTTTTAGGTAAAGAGACCTTTTTATCATTTTTTTTGTTTAAATACGTATTTTGCTAAAATATATATTTATAAATGACAAGGAAATCTTTAGTATGGATTATTTATCATTTCACAAGGTTAAAATTTTGTTTGTTGACAAATTGTGTCATTTAGTTGTTTTAAAATATGTATGTAGGTTGTAGTAGTGTTAGTAGTTAAAGTATCAGGTTTGAAGACTTGATGATGAATACAGGCAGACAAGTGTTTTAATCATAATAAAGAAATGTTGTGTAAATATTTGCTTTTTAAATAATTTTAAAGAATTACAAGAGAAATGTTAGTATTTTGATCTTTGTTATGTTTATTATTATTATTTTGAAATTTCTAAACTTATAATGTGACAGAAAATATTATAATAATTTTATTAAATAACAACAAACTGTAAATTAAGAGATAGTAAACGATTTTTTGTTTGTGGGATATCACCCGGTGTAATTTGTTCGAAGTGTATTATTGCGCTAATCTTTTCTCTTTACAGGCGTAAAGTCAAGTGTTTTATCTGTAAAGCAATGATATGGTCAACTTGCTAGTCTAACATACATGATTATATTGTGCTAAATGTTATTCAGCTATTAAAAACTCAATATATCCAAACAAGGAAAACCTTCAGTTATCATAATTCTCAAGAATTATCTTATTCAGCTCAGTAAAACAATCATATGAACAATTTGCTAACCTAACTAACATACATGATTATATTGTGGAAACTGCTATTCAGCTATTAGAAACTCAATATAGCCAAACAAGGAAAATCTTATTCAACTTATAAAATCTGATTTCAGTTCTTATATTTCTCAAGAAATTACTTATTCAGCTTAACAAAACTCAACTAACTTAACATACAAGATTATATTGTGGAAACAGCTATTTAACTATTAGGAATTCAATTCAGCCAAACAAGGAAAACTATATTCAGCTAATAACAGCTCTATTCAGTTCTCATAGTTCTCAATTCAGCTTAACAAAACTCAATTCAGCTAAAATATTTTAATGACTTTAGATATATTTTTTGATTTATTTACAAGAATCTATAGTATATATTGTTATTCAGCTAACAAAAACTTAATTCAGCTAACATATCTTATGTTTTATGGTGATATTTTTACTTGTTTAACCAAATTCATTAAGAAAAAACTTATTCAGCAAATCTTAACTATTAAGAATTCAATTCAGCCAAACAAGGAAAACTATATTTAGCTAATAACAACTCTATTCAGTTCTTATAATTCTCAATTCAGCTTAACAAAACTCAATTCAGTTAAAATATTTTAATGACTTTAGATATATTTTAATTTATTTACAAGTACCTATAGTACATATTGTTATTCAGCTAATCAAAACTTAATTCAGCTAACATATCTTATATTTTATGGTGATATTTTTAGTTATTTCACTAAATTCATTAAGAAAAATCTTATTCAGCTAATCAAAACTCAATTCAGCTAAAACATGTTAAGTTTTCATGCTACAAGTTGCTATTCAGCTAACCATAGAATTAATTCAGCTAAGATTTTTCTATGTTTTAAATGTACATTTTAGGGTTAATTACTTTTTTTTAGTAAATATAGTAATTCAGCTATTAGAAACTTAATTCAGCTAGAATTTTTCATATTTTTTTTTAAATTTATTATATATATTACTGGAAATTTGTCTTAATACACTAATTCAGCTGAGAAAAACCTAATTCAGCTAAAATTTTTTTCAATAAAATTTATAGTTTTTTAAGATATTGACTTTATAAAGGAATTTTTAAAACAAGTTAACAAAATAATTGCCGCCATTATTTAAATATGTATGCTTTTTCACCTTTTTGTTTTTACAATTTTACTAATATTTAATTTAATTTTATTAAACAAATATTGTTCAATGTATTTAGAAAAAAATTGTTTAGTGTTTTTTAGTGCTTTTTTATTAAGTTTTATATTTGATTCTTGAAAAAAACACACAATATGGAAAAGAAATTAATACAAACTTAAACGGAAAAGGAAATTTAAATCAAATAAAAGAAATATAAAATATAACAAATTAATAAAACAATATAAGCATAATTTAAATAAACCATTATACTAAAAAAACTAAATGTTAATAAAAATAAACACAACTAAATTAAGTTAAAGAAAATATTTATTTAAAAATAATAAAAAACGTGCTTTTTTTATTTAAAGGCAAAAAAACTTGAAAAAGGTGTTTGTTTTTATATTGTTATATTATATAATAAATATATCTTTAATATATATTATATTTTGTTTATAATAATAAGAAAAAAATGAATTTCTCTCACACTCTATATATATATTTTTTTTGCTTTCTCGCTTTTTTTGTTTTGTTTTTTTTTTTTTTTTTTGGGTTTATAGTTTTTAAACGAAACAACACAAGAAATGGGATTTGAAAAATTAAATGAAAAAAAGAAAAGAAACCAAGAGAAAATACGAAAAACAAAAAAACAAACAGGAAATAATGAAGAAAAATAATGAGGTGAAACACTTACCTTTCGCACTGCCGCAACGTCCATGATGCTATAATCCATAAAGACACCATAAATACTAGTAACACCGTACCCGGACATATTGTCATTAATGTTTTTAGAACAAATCTACAAAAAGAGAAAGAAACATGTATATGTATAATATAATAAATTTAAAAACAAAAAAAGTTAAAAGGAACAAAATTTTAATGCTGCTGAAAATTATTCATATAGAAAATTTTATGATGTGCAGCATGTTGTATGATTGTTATTATTTAAATTAAAATTTAAAAAAATAATCATCATACGCTTAGGTGCACCATCAGCCATGCCATACATCTTCTGTATTACTTTTGGCAATGTTGTTGGTTGGCTTAGCATTTTGGATCTCTTTTTTTAGGTTTTAATGTCATCCTACATTTCAAAATTAAATGTACTTTGTTTAATTTAGCCGTTGTTTTTTAAGTTATTATATAGTTAAAGTGAATTATGTTAAAGTATGGAGGTTTTTTTCTGTTTTAATTTTATTTAGCTTTTAGTAGAAAGGAAAAAGCGTATGTTTGATGTGGGTTTTTTGTTCATCATATGATGGCGTCAAAGCAATTTTAAACGACTTTGATAAAGTAATTACATATACGAGTAAGACTTATTTAAAACAGATATAAAGTAGATTAAAATTTTAGTCCGGACTAATGACTGACTGTAGTTTCGACTGAATACATACTGTAGTCGCTGCATAAACTAAAGACTAATAACTATAGACTTACTTTAGACAAGACTATAGATTTACTATAGTCTGCACTATAGACTTACTACATTCTGGACTACAAACTTACTATAGTCTGGACTATAGATTTACTATAGTCTGGACTATAGATTAACTATAGTCTGGACTACAGATTTACTATAGTCTGCATTATAGACGTACTATGGTCTGAAATATAAACAAACTATAGTCTGGACTATAGATTTACTATAGGCTGGACTATAGACATACTATAGTCTGGACTATAGACATACAATAGTCTGGACTATAGACATACTATAGTGGACATACTATATTATGGACTATAGACTTACAATAGGTAGGATTATAGACATACTATAGTCTGGACTATAGATTTACTATAGGCTGGATTATAGACATACTATAGCCTGGACTTTAGACGTACTATAGTCTGGACTATAGACATACTATAGTCTGGACTATAGACTTACTATAGTCTGGACTATAGACTTACTATAGTCTGGACTATAGACTTATTATAGTCTGGACTATAGAATTACTATAGTCTGGACTATAGACTTTCTATAGTCTGGACTATAGACTTTCTATAGTCTGGACTATAGACTTACTATAGTCTGGACTATAGACTTACTATAGTCTGGACTATAGACTTATTATAGTCTGGACTATAGATTTACTATAGTCTGGACTATAGACTTATAATAATTTGGACTATAGACTGGACTATAGACATACTACACTCTGGACTGTAGACATACTATTTTTTGAACTATAAATTTACAATTGGCTGGATTATAGACATACTATAGTCTGGACTGTAGACATACTATAGTCTGGACTATAGACTTACTATTGTCTTGGCTATAGATTGACTATAATCTGGGCTATAGACTGACTATAGTCTGGACTGTTGACGGATTATAGTCAGGACTATAGACTGGCTATAGTCTGGACTATAGACTGACTATAGTCTGGACTATAACCTGACTATCTGGAATATAGACCGATTATAGTTATCTACACAATAGACTGAATTTATCTACACAATAGACTGAATTCGGACTGACTATGTAATATAAAATATGTATGATCTGCGGTCTGACTATATTCTGGACTTCAGACTTACTGTACTATAAGCCTGGTACAATCTGTATTAGAGGATGAGTATCATATGCACTAGAAACTTATTGAATTATTAACTCCAGACAGACAGGTATTCTTGTCTGAGGACTGACAATAGCCTGAATGATAAACTTGCTGAAGTCAGCATTTTAGACTGACTATATTCTGAACAATAGTCTGACTATAGTCTTGAGCATAAACTGGTTATACTCTTGACTATAGATTGAGTATTATCTTGACTAGCCTGATTGCTATATTTTCTATAGATCGACTATATTCTGGACTATTAATCATGAGGATGGACAGAGTATGATGACTATTATCTGAACTATATAGACTGATATAAGATCTAACTCTAGGATATATTATAGAGTAACAATAGTCTCAACTGTAGGATGACTTTAATGTTGACTATAGTCTAACTGTAAACTAAACTATAGTATGGACTTTAGGTTGGCTATTGTCGGGAATATTGATTAACAGTTGCTTTGATTATAGGCTTGTTGCTGTGAGGACTAGAAGGCTGACTATAGACTGAAATATAGTCTGACTGTAGTTGGTTATATAAACTGACTACAGTCTTAACTAAATGCTGACTATTATCTAAACTATAGGTTAACTATAGTATGGATTATAAGTTGACTACAATCTGGACTATATGCTAACTATACCCTGAACTATAAGCTAACCGTAATCTGGACTATAGGCAAACTGTTGTTTGTATAATAGGTTGATTGTAGTCTGGACTATAATGCTGACTATAATCTAGATTATATCCAACTGTAATCTAGAATCTACGTATGAGCTGACTAAAGTCTGAACTATAAGCTAATTATAGCTTATAGTTCAGATATTATAACTATAGTCGGGACTATAGGCTATTGTCAGGATTATTGCCTAACTGTTGTTTGTATTATAGGCTGATTGTAGCGTGGACTATAAGGATGATTATAATCTTGATTATATGCCGACTGTAAACCAGACTCTGAAGTATGCAACCTAGGCTATAATCTGGACTATGGACTTTTTAACCCAAATATAGTAAAAAGTTGCTTGTTTAAATACCTTATTGAATAATCTTTACTTTGATTTTAAGACTTAATTAATTTTTGCCAGAAAAATTCTTTACCTAGCCAAAAGTTAACTACACAAAACTGTTCCCTAAACTTTTTACTTTGGCTTTTCTTACTCTTCATTTAGATGGTATGACAAACAAAAGTAAAAACAACTTTTTTTTAACTACAATTGGAAAAGTTTTATTTTGAACGAATTTGCCAATAATAGATGAAAACAGCAATACATATCAAAAATCCTGTTCTCCTAACAATAAACTAAATATAGAGAAAAAAAAGTTATTTATGTAAACTACTCGAAAAAGATTTTAAAATTCTATTTTTAAACATTTTAATATGCTAACCCAAAAACTTACAAGCAGTAGATATTTTATAGTGTATGTTGTGTGAGTGTGTGTGTTAAGACAATAAATATGAACAAAAAAGGCAACCGGATGTGACTTAATATTCGTAAAAAGTAAGTGTACTAGAGCAAAAATTCAAATAAACTTTTTTGTATACAAAAACAAAATTCTCGTAATACCAGTTTATTTTTAATATTTCAACTTTTCATGGTAATTATCAGTAGATGTATAGATGGAAATAAAATATTAAGTATTTTAACAGTTGTGCAAATTTCCAAAAGTAATAAAATATGAATAAAAATTAAGAATTTCACATGGACGAGAAATGGTAAGAGAGAGGTTGGTTAGAGTCACGTAAAAATATTTGATAAGAGTAAACAGTTAAGAGATTTTAAGTGTTAAATATAAACATTATGTTTGTTTAAAATTTAAATATAAAAATTGGAAGTTTCCGTTTAAATATAAAATTTTAACTTGATTTTTGTATATTAAATATTTTGTACTTTAATTCCAAAAAGTTTACTTTAATTTAATTTTGTTTCTTTACTCTATTATGGTTTGAAATGTGTTAGAATTGATTAATCAATGTCAATGAATTATTTAGTTCAGACACTATGGCGTATGAGTATTTTCAATTTCAATTCTAATTAAACATCACTTATACGTTACGTATGTATACGGCAAATTGAAATGCCTTATAAAACATTAAATATGTACAAAATTGAAGCTCATGGTCATAGTTTTTTCTAGAATTTTTCCTTGAATTATAAAAAAAAAATTTAATACAAAACATTAGGGTGATAGAAGCTTTAACATATCATTTTGTTTCATGTATTATACGTTGTTATTTACTTTTTGACTAATAAGAGGAAAAATTTACTTTATGACTTTATTACTTGTACCAGCTCTAGTCTAATGTTTGTACATTCATGCGGATTTAATAATTAATTAATTGACTTTTACTTGTTGTTTGAATCTGTCCGTGCATTTAAATAATGATTTGTAACAAAAGAATAGATATTGAACAAAGAAAAACTATTAGTTGAAATTATGTAATTTCTTGGAAATGGCAAAAGTCTGTAGAAACTAGGTCTTTTGCGAAAACAAGTTAATTAAAGGAATTCGATTCTTTAATTAATTTAACTAAGAAATTAGAATTTCTCTTTAAGATGTTAAATTTTTAGATTGTATAGACTTGTATAGACTTACTTTAGGCTGGACTATAGAATAAATATAGTCGGGACTATAAACTAACTAGAAGTTTCCCTTAAAAACTATAGTCTGAACTATAGACCAACTATAGTCTGAACTATAGACCAACTATAGTCTGGACTATAGACCAACTATAGTCTAGACTATAGACCAACTATAGTCTGGACTACAGACCAACTATAGTCCGGACTATAGACTAAAAATAGTCTAGAATTTAGATTATAGTAAATCTAACTACATCTAACTATAAACTAACTATGGACTAACAAACTAACTATGGACAACCATAGTCTTGACTATAGACTAACTATAGTCTTGACTATAGACTAACTATAGTCTTGACTATAGACTACCTATAGTTTTGACTACAAACTAACTATAATTAGGACTATAGACTAACTATAGTCTGGACTATATACTTGCTGCAGTCGAGACTAAACTGACAATAGTCTGGGGTATAGTCTGCATAATAGACTGGAATATAGACTGTGCTATAGACTGGACTATAGGCTTGACTATAGACTGGACTACAGACTATACTATAGACTGGACTATAGAGTAACTATATATTGGACTATCAACCTTGACTCACTATAATTAGACTATAGTCTTGACTATAGACTAACTATAGTCTTAACTATAGACTAACTATAGTCTTGACTATAGACTACCTATAGTTTTGACCACAAACTAACTATAATTAGGACTATAGACTAACTATAGTCTGGACTATATACTTGCTGTAGTCCAGACTAAACTGACAATAGTCTGGGGTATAGTCTGGGCTATAGTCTGCATAATAGACTGGAATATATACTGGACTATAGACTGGACTATAGGCTGGACTATAGACTGGACTATAGACTGGACTATAGACTGGACTATAGACTGGACTATAGACTGGACTATAGACTGGACTATAGACTGGACTACAGACAGTACTATAGACTGGACTATAGAGTAACTATAGTTTGGACAATACTCTAACTGCAGATTTACTATAGTCTGGACTACAGACTAACAATAGTTCGGACTATGGACTAACTATAGTCTGGACTATAGATCAATTATAGTCTGGACTATAGATTTAATATAGATTTAACATAGTCTCGACCTTGACTTACTATAATTGGACTATAGTCATGACTATAGACTAACTATAGTTTTGACTATAGACTAACTATAGTTAGAACTATAGACTAACTATAGTCTGGACTATATACTTGCTACAGTCGGGACTATAAACTGACAATAGTCTGGGCTATAGTCTGGATAATATACAGGAATATAGACTGGACTATAGACTAGACTATAGGCTGGCCTACGTAATGGACTATAGACCGGACTAGAGACAGTACTATAGAATAGACTATAGAGTAACTATAGGTTGGACTATACTCTAACTGCAGATTTAGTCCGGACTATGGACTGACTATAGTCTGGACTATAGACTAAATATAGTCTGGACTATAGATTCTCGAATCACTATTTCGAATCACTGATTCTCGACCTCGAATCACTATAATCAGGCTGGAGTCTGAGTAATAAACTGAATAGTGTTTGAGCTATTAGCTATATAGTCTGGCTATATTATGACTAAAGTCTGTGTCATACACTGACTACAGCCAATAGAGTTTGCCTGGAAACAGATACTGAGATGAACAATTAAACAAACGTCAAATTAAAGAAAAGCTAAAAGTGCGCTTCCTTCTAAAGCACTATAGTAAAAGCGAAAAAGTTTTTTTCCCCATTAATTCCTATTATCCAAAAATCTCTCTTAATTAATTGATTTAAATGTAAATGGAAATAGCATCCGCATAAAAATAAAAATATATTTAACAAAATCACCACTTACCTGGTATTAAAATTTATCCTATTAAGAGCACCTATGCTCCTTGATGAGGCATCCGTAAATAGTTTTGAATGTAAAAGCATTACACGACATATTAAATATAAACGAAGGAACATGGGTAATGATAAAGCTACATCGTATGGCACCATTTCGGTGCCCATTGTTTTATTTTTATTCGCCAATTTCGTAGTCCATTGAAAATAATATTCACCAGGTATTGGATGTATTGCACATATAAAAAGTTCTAAACTTATTTGACTAATTCGTTGCCATGTCATCGCGATCCGCCAATCGTCAGCACAATTATCAATCATAAATAACTGCAAATATTCACAATTTCATGACGTTGATTGTATTTCCCAAAATTAAGGGGTAAAAAAACGTAAAAAAGGGAAGAAAAGAAAGAAAGTAGAGAAAATTTATTATTAATAACTAATTGGAAATTTATTGATTTATTAGCTTTTGGTTAGACAGTTTTGTGGCTAACGTTTGTACGTACATACATACATATACATACGTTCAATATCAAATAAATAACAAAGAAATCAAACTTCTACTACACTATAGTTTAGTATATTAAAACATTTATTTTATTTTTGTTTTTTGTATTTTTTTACTTTTTATTTTATTTTATACATATTACATTCTTATGGATGTTTGAGTGTGTGTGTGTATGTGGGTCTTTATATACATTTTACAAATTCAAGTACTTAAGTGTCTTGAGTGTATATGTCTGTGTATAAGTACAAGCACCTAAGTAATATAGTTAGTTGTTTTTTAGTTGTTCAGTTTTAGAGGAAAAAAAATTATTTGCACAGTGGTTTTTTGAGTATTTCTGAGAAAATTTTTTAATCTAGATCAATATATTTGATTTATCAATAGAAAAAGTTTACAGTTGGTGACCCATTATCGTATTAACCAATTTGTCTATTGGGTAAAATAGGAAAACTTATGGAAAAAATCAAAATTGTATAAACGGTTGCTGACAACTGAACTTCGGAAGGCGACTCATATGGTTACAGAAATAGCTAAGAGGGCAATAGATGGAAATATTTCGTAATAATTGTTGTAAACGTTAAAATGTATTTTACTTTAGGGCTGACAATCCAAACGACTTGTTGTACCGAATTACCTTACAGTACAGTACCATTAATAGCTACTTCACAGAATGAAAATGATATTACAAAGGTGAAGTAAACAAGTCGCAATTAGTTAAAGATGGTGTTCCCAAGGGTCCAGTATTGTAACATAATTTATAATGACATTCTTATGTAAAACAAGTGAGAGTTCTATATTTGGCTGTCCCGAATCTTATATACCCTTCGACATAGTTTAAAAGAAGTTAATTATTTTTTATATCTGAAAGAATCATGATGATCTGGACTCTTTAGCAAATTGATTTCAACAAATTTACATAGAGATACTCAGGATGTCGAAGAGATGGCAATTTTGTACATAGTTCTACCCGTCCATGTACAATCATGTCCCACAGTCTCTCCTCCTTGGGGTATCTGGTGTCTCGGCAACAGCATCGAACTTATACCAAATTATAGACTTTCATCAAGGTTACATGACCCCCGGAGAGAGAGAGACACACACGAATGTCGAGAGTCGACAAGGCCATAGTTAAACCAATAGACTAGTACTTAAAGGAGTGAATAGATTAGCCTATAGACTAGTCAATGGAATAGTTAAGTAGTCTATAGACCATTAGTTACACAGGCCGACAAAATTTGCAGCGCTGAATCCGAATCAGACCTTAGGTTTTCTCCATCACATGTGGGATTTGAGATATAGAGATCTGAAATTTATTTATTGTTTATAACGAACATAAATATAAGATTCACGCCTATCTGACGACGTTCTAGTCGACTCAAAATCACTTTTTGATTCGACTTAACGATGTCTGTCCGTCTGTCGATCAATTTCAACGTATGATATCTCAGCAACTGTGACAGATTTTAAAACAATTCAAAGGGTATTTTCATAAGAAAAAATGTATACAATTGGATGCATTCTTTTGTTTTTTGTAAAATAGAAGAGAAATGTACGAAAAAATACGGTTTTTGTCAATGTATTGTTATATCAAGCTTTAGATGAAGATACATATTTGGAAGAGGAAAAAAAGATATACAGCATTTTATAAATGAAGTTGTCTTTTCTTAAAAGGGGCCAAAAATTGCTTTTTTTTAAACTTCAGAAAACGAAACGTAATGCTGAGAATTTAATGAAGAAGGCATTATGTGCCTTCTATATATGTAAGAAAACCTTTGGGAAAAGATGTGGTCTTAAACCATACATTGTGCACTGGATGTACACCGCGGTCATAAGACCTATTTTGACCAACGGAGCTGTTGTTTAATGAAGAGCGTTGGATACCAAGACTTACCTCTATTCTAAACAAGGTACAAAGATTAGCATGTCTTGCAATCACTGGCTGTTTGAGCTCCACCCCTCAGGCTAGTCTAGAGACGATACTAAACATAACTCCCCTCTAAGACTTAAACAGTCGAACGGACTGAAGCAGGTCATTCAAGACCAGAATACTGTCGTAAGAGATGACGTGATCTCAATCTATACTGATAGCTCAAAGTCATAAAGGGGCACGGGATCTTCGAAAAACTAAATCTTCTGCCATCTCTTTGACTACCTGACACCTGCACGGTCCTTCAGACAGAGATATATGCCATCTATACAGCCGCGAGAAGAATCCGGGAACTAAATCTTGAAAATCCGACTATACATATATACTTGGACAGCCTTGCATCAATCAAGGCTTTTAACTCCAATATTATTAAGTCAAAATGTCTTCTCAATTGTATTCAACCATTGGCACAACTGACACAACATCACTTTGAGTTGATATGGGTTCCAGGACATGAGGGCATCCGGGGAAATAAAATATCTGATGAATGCGAAACCAAAGGGTCGTCACTAGACTTAACCCTTGCGCAATAGGATATTCACACTCCCCTGACGACCCTATTAAAATTGATAGATGAATGGGCTTTGAGTGAAATGGAACTCAGGTGGTCAAATATCAGCACTTGTAGAATATCGAGACTGCTCTGACCCACTCTGACAAAAGATAGGACAAGGACTCTCTTGTCTCTTGGTTAGAACTCGATTAGGCTTCTAAGTGGTATAATTACTGGGCACTGTGTGATTGGACATATGTCGGAACGTATGGGCTACCCAAGTTATAGTTACTGTAGAAGCAGCTTGGACAAAGAATAAGTGGAATCGGTAAAACACCTTCTATGTGACTGCCCAGCCTTGCAAGAGCACAGACTACTCTATCTTGATAAAGCTCTTTTCCATGATCTAGAATGTCTCAGAGATGCGTCACTAATAAATATGATCGGTTTTATTAGGAGTACCGGCTGATTTTCATGGAGACCGAATGAACCAAGAAGTCAACGAAATTAGGGAGGTAAACCATTTTCTCAATGCTACGGAATGGTAATTCTAAGAGTATTACAAATGGGCCACAAGGCCTTCGAGTGAACTCGCTTGCTAGCGAGTAACCCACGTAACCTAACCTAACCATCGATTAGTGCATAAACCTTTTAATAGGTCCATCCAGAGACTATTCAATAGTCCTGTTAAAAGACTAAAAATAGATTACTTAATAGACTGGACCCTAGGTAAGCTAATGGACTAATCCACTAATTACTAGATTATATTATGGATTACTTCATATATTCTTGAGATTAATCTTTAGGTCAGTCACTAGAGAATTTCATATAATATTCCATAGTTTTGTCAATACTCTAGTCTATATACTAGACAATCGACTACTCCATAGACTGATAAATAAATTAGTCCTTCGAATAGTCAATAGGCTATTCCACAGTGCATAGGCTAGGTCATAGACTATTTTATATACATATTCTAGAGATTAGTCAATAGTGCTGTCACTAGAGAAGTCCATAGACTATTCCATAGTTTTGTCAATAGACTTGTCAATACTCAAGTCCATCGACCACTCCATAGGCTAGTAAATAAATTATTTCTTAGAATAGTCACTAGACTATTCCATAGTGTATAGACTGTAAAGAGATAAGACAAAACATGAATCCCTAAACTGGACCCTAGTCTTGTTCGTAGACTTATTTATAGAATATTCAATAGAAGAATTGCAAATAGACTAGTCTTTAGACTAATGCTTAAACTAGTCCATAAAAAAACATTGAAAAACTTCGAAAACTTTCTGATACTCATAATTATGAAGAGAACCACTGTGCACTTGTATAAATTATTAAAAGTTGTAGTAACTAAAAGTAGTTGTTGTACTAGTACTTGTAATTGTTGTATACTGATGACGTTGTATTATTATAGTTGTTGTTATTGTTGTTAATAGTATAATATAAATAAATACATACATAGACATAGTTGGACTTGACTAATAAGTTTATATTAAGATATTTATAAACATATATATTAACTATAATAAAAAAATATATATTAATACCATACAAGTACAATACATACATATATATATAGAAAAAGAACGTATACAAAAATACACAGTAATAGTTATAGAAACATAGAGAGGGGGAAAATAAAGATTGAGCAAGTAAGAATAAAGAAAAATAACACTCACACAAACACACACAACTACATAAAAAACACATATTAATAGAAAAGAAATTATTTATAAATAAGAAGAAGCGACAATTGTAACAACAATAAGAAGGCTTTAGTTTTTTTTTCATTGCACATTAAAGACAAGTAAGACAAGGAGACAGGTTTTAAGGATAAGAGTAAGAGTATAAATTAGTTTAAAAGTGTGGGAAGAAGTGTGTGTGTGTGTGTGTGGCAATGTGAAAGAAAGATTGTTGTATAGTGGGATAAGTATAAGTAGTGAATTTTTCAAAGGTAAAAATAAATGTTTAAAGGTTTAATTTTTTAAGTTTTATATTAAATTTTTGTAAGATTTTTATTTATAGTTTTTTCTTTTATTTTCAATTGGGGACATATTTTACTTATTATACTTTTATAGTAGATTTTTTTATTTGTTTGTATGTATGATTTTAGTTTTTGTTTTAATAAACAAAAAAAATAGTTTCGAAATCAAATAGAAAGTTTTAAAAGTCTTAAAACAATACAATAGCAAGTAAGTGTATTAAAAATTAAAATGGAGAGAGATACAGAGATAAATACAACAAAAAACATTAAAAAAGTAGACAAAACTGCATTAGATTTTTTTAACAGACACGGACTATAGAAATGTTGAAAGCATAGAACACAAAAGAACAAGTTACATGACAGGAAAGTTTGCTTTTTTACGGTTTTTAAAATTTGATTTTTTTTGTTT